CAACCTGTGGGTCGGGACCCCATTTGGGGTCGATCGACCATTTCATGGGGGTCGCCAAGCAAGGCTGTCCGCCATTTTTTTTTGTCCGCCATTTTTCCCCCCTTTTCCGGCGGGTGCCTTACCTCCCTTGGGCTGGGCCAGCTGGTGGTCGGCCTGCTCCGTCTCTGCCGCTTGCCAGCTACGCCTCGGCTGGCGCAGGGGGCGGAACCACGCATACGCGGCGCTCCCGGGCAGGGAAAGTCCTCGACGTACGACCGGTTGGGTAGTCCTTGACTTACGACTGGTTTAGTCCTCGACTTACGACTGGTTGGGGTCACGGCATTAAAAAGGTTGAGAACCACTGGACTAGAGGGCCTCCAAGGTCTCTTCCAACATCATCATCATTATTATTATTATTATGGATCATTGCACAGTCAGCCAGATGTTCAGACTGGATTTGGCATTTTGTCTACCTATCAAGTCCTTACCAAGGATCTGAGATAGGCAGATGTGGATGATGATGATGATGATGATGATGATAATGATGATTATTATTATTATTAAAAAACAAAAAAAAACCCACCCACTAAACATTCAGGCAGTTGTGGCTTGCTTTCATCCACCGTGAACATGCTTTCCACAGGAGGTCATTGTCCCAGAGCTGAAGTGGAGGAGGTCCTCGGCGTCGCTCTCCCTCACCCTCCCAGATTCCGGCTTCCAGTGTATCCACCGAACTTCGATCAGCAACCTCAGTGCTAAGGACAACTCCTGCAACTCGGAGGAGCCCCTGGCATCAGGTGGGGGGGGAATTAGGAAGGACCTTCTGGGATGGAGGGACAGCATCTTCCTGGGCTGGTCCAGAGAGTGCCGTGCTCCAAGGACATCAGTTCCGATGGAAGGAGGGGTTGAATTGCAACTAAAACCGTAGCTTGCAGGTGTGGTTTGGTTGCAGGTGAAATTACGACGTCAGAAGAGCAACCGAGCTCTTTCAACAAACCCTTGGAGGAACATTATCATCTCCAGGTTGGTATTCTGTGTGATCTGAGTTTCTCCCTATTTGCTTCTGTTTCAGAAAGTACAATAAACTCTGAGGAGGAAGAGGAGGAGGAAGAGGAGGAGGAGGAGTTAGTAGTGGACCAAAGCTACAAAGCAGAATTGAGACCAGCTGATTATCAGCTGCTAAAAATCTTCATAGTGTTGTAAGTCCAAAGGATGAACTTTCCCATTTTTCCCCCTGTGGCTTTCTGATTCCCGCTCAGGCTCAGATCTAAAGGGGGGGGTGTCTTTCTCTGGGGTCTTGATCCACAGAATCTGCCTTTTGGTGTTGTCCTCATCGTACTTGGCCTTCCGAATTTTCCGGCTGGAGCAGCAACTCTCCTCCTTGAACCAGGATTACTTTTCCCGAATATCTCAAAGGTAAGAGGCGTTCTGGGGTTCCTCCGAAAAGGGAAAAAAACAAACATTTATATTCAAATTTATGTCCAAAAGGTGGAATACAAAACAGGAAATATGGCACACAGTAAAATGCATTGTGCTTTTAATTTTTCGTGAGACTAAAAATAAGATAGTATGGTGATAGACTACGAATTCGGGGAAAACAGTGAAAATAAACCAGGTTAAAAAAAAAACCAAGCTAAAGGTTTTCTAGCGACGATTATGTCTCTCCACTTGTACAAAACAGGGGTGGGTGACTTGCAGTCTACACATCCCTTTATTGTGTTCCCTCGTTGCTGAAGACAAAAAAATTGCCCAACATTTTGAGGCCTATCACAGTTAAAAGACACACATACAACCCATACAGTAGAAATCCCCCAGGCTGTCACTAAAAACCAGCCCCATATGGAGGTCCTCCGAGTCAAGAATGTTTCTTGATCACCAGAAGGTGGCCCATCCATGGCCTTGAGTAAGAAAACCATTGGCTCTGGCAAGCCTCATTCAACATAGCATAGCTCTTGTCCTGACTTGCTCTCTTTGCTAAGACTAGAGGATCTTCTACATCTTTGCATGATGATGCAGAACGACCCTTTAAGTAATCAACTGGAGCCCCTTTCTTTTTTTCTAAGAGAGAGAGAGAGAGAGAGAGAGAGAGAGAGAGAGAGAGAGAGAGAGAGAGAAGAAAAAGAAAGAAAGGAAGGAAGAAAGAAAGAAAGAAAAAGAAAGAAAGAAAGAAAAAAGAAAGAAAGAGAAAGAAAGAAAGAAAGAAAGAAAAAGAAAGAAAGAAAAAGGAAGGAAGGAAGGAAGGAAGGAAAGAAAGAAAAAGAAAGAAAGAAAGAAAGAAAGAAAGAAAGAAAGAAAGAAAGAAAGAAAGAAAGAATATTGGCCAAGTGTGATTGGACACACAAGGAATTTGTCTCTGGTGCATAAGCTCTCAGTGTACATACAAACAACGAAGCAATAGGCCGTATATCATAGGTCATACAGTAGTTGCAATCATTCATCATAAGATACAACAACAAGTGATAAATCATAAGATACTAATAGGAGAAGGTAGTAGGAAAGATGAGAAGATGAGAAAGATGAGAAGATGAGAAGGATAATAGCAATACAGCCCTACTACATGAGTAAATATCTTTAGACTGTGGGAATTAGGTGTTCAGCAGAGCGATGGTATAGGGCAGGGGTAGGCAACCTCAGCTCTTTTAAGACTCATGAAGTTCAACTCCCAGAATTCCTGAGTCAGCATAGAATTCTGGAAGTTGAAGTCCATGAGTCATAAAAGCCGAGGTTGCCTACCCCTGGTATAGGGGAAAAAACTATCTTTGCGTCTAGTTGTTTTGGCATGCAATGCCCTATAGCGGCATCCAGAGGGGAGAAGTTGAAACAGTTTATGTCCAGGATGTGAGGGGTCTGTAGATATTTTCTCAGCCCTCCTTCTGGCTCTGTGCAGTGTACAGATCCTCAACGGAAGGCAGGCTGGTTGCAATATTTTTTTTCTGCAGTTCTAACTATCCATTGAAGTCTGTACCTGACCTGCTTGGTTGCTGTGCCAAACCAGACAGTTACTAAGGTACAAATGACAGTCTCAATTATCACCCATCAGGATGCTTGCACACATGAATTGTACCCCAAAGGTTGCACGTAGATGACTTTTCAGTGAAGAAGTTCTCGTTGTTTTCTCTGTAAGCAGCCTGGAGTGGCAAACGTGGACTTCTTTCTTTTGACAGATGATTGTAGCACAAGGAAGATTGGAGGAGATCAAACTTCACTTTCACTTGGGTCCAAGTAGGTAACGTGGCTGCTATGAAGATGGAGCCAGTGGTTCTCTTTCCATTCTTGTTGGACCAAAGCAGCGAGGAACACCTTAGGTGCTGCCTCACCTCCAAGAACCCCGTCGGAGACTTCACACGTTGCATCAACTCTGCTAGAACATCTTCCAGGCTGTTAGGGATGCTTATGGCCATCGCCAAAAAGGTTCTGGCTAGGTTGGCCCAAGAGGGGCAGTTCCAGGCCACAATTTCAGAGGTCATCCTCCTCAGCTCTGACAAACTTATGGGACTTACTCTCAACAGTGCCAGCAACGTTGGAGATTGCACTAGAGGACTTCTCCGAGGTCCTTCCTTGCACTTTGGAACGGCAGCGTTTAGAAGGCTGCTCTTCCCAGTGAACTTTGTGGCTCTTGGGACATCATCTCCAAGGGACTCTTTGAAATGCCAGAGACATGGTTGGTTTCTCCTCTGGAGAGGGTTCCTCCAGGGTGCGGTTGGTGCCAGCATTCACGGCCTCTTTTCCTGTGGAAGGCGGGTGGCCGGAATAGTTACTGCTCCTGCAATGAAAACACAGCCAGTCAATGAAGATGACTAGTTAATCATCTTTTACTAAGGATGAGTAGGAGTTTGGAGCTGTCCCGTCTCTGCCCTTTCACATCCCAGTATTCTGCGTTCTCCTTAGGACCAACCTTCTTGCACTAACGAGAGTCTTCTGACCCGGAGCAGTGCCGCTCCGGCTATTTGCACCCCTGCGACCTTTCCAGAGCCAAAGTGACTTTTGAGCGGACGAGAGGGGAGCCTCTCGGCTGCTAGGCAAGCCCTGCGTTCTTACGGACTGGAGCCACCTAGAGCTGTTGGGTAGGCAGCCACATCAGGCTCTTTCGGGGAAAGTAACAGTAAAAGAAGCTTCTCGGTGACGGAGTTGGAGCCCAAAATGCACTTCCTGTTGGTCTGCCTCCTTAAATAGAAACCGTAGCTTGGCTTTGATGGGCTAAAAAAGCACGGGAGAGGAGCCAGGGGGAGAGAAGAGACAGCCCCACCAAGTAGACCAGACGGTGAAATCAACTTTACAGGATGACTACAATTATTTTGAGATTGGCTGTACTAATTATATCCCCTCCCCCTTCTTATAGTTCACTAGGGAGGTGTCTGTCTGAGCCACTTCCAGATGGTATCTGGATGAATGGATGGATGCCTGTCTCCATCAGGGTCACCTTCCTTCTCTCTACAGTCTCCGGTCAGCCACAACCCGGCAACAGGGTGAGAAAACTTAGTTGTTCGGCCCTGGAAGTCCTATTGGGGGCCAAGTGGGGGATTGGACCAGGGTAGAAGTTCCGTCAGGAGAGAAGCTGTGGGGTTGGAGCTGGAGACCAAAGTCACCTCTGAAAGGAGGGCCGGGTCTTCAACTGAGCATCTCCTAAGAAAGGATGGAGAGGGAGGGAAGGATTGAAGAGGAATGGACTCGGCACCAATGAGCGGATGGTCTCCTGACATACAGCAAACCCCTCTGTGGTCCTCCCAGTTTCTCCCACAGTGCTGCAGGAGGACCTGTGGGGGTTCATTGATGGGAGGCAAATGACACTCCTGTTGGCAGCTAGTCGGGTCCGAACAAAATATGGAAAAAGTGGGGCATTGATGGAAAGGCTCTGCGGTGTCTCCCAGGGGGCTTCCGAGGGGCTGAAGGCCATTTCATCAGCATCACTGGAGAGAAGCAGCCATCACGGCTTCTCCTCTTCTCCTTCCCAGGGACCAGCCGGGCTGCTGGACAGCCGTCGGTGTCTTCTTTAGCAATAAGGTCTCAGGTGTTTATGCAGCTTGTTTTCACGAGAACCTCCCACCTTGTGGCTGGGGATGTGTGACACTGATTTATCGGTCTGTTATTTTGGGGGGGAAGCACTGCTAGGACAAGGACCCTGTGAGTGGGTTTGCAAAACCCAAAAAAAAATCTATGGCCAGCAGGCCCAACAAAGACCAATCAGGTAAGGCTGGCAAGCAGGCAGAATAATTAGGAAATGCTCACAAACCTAGATTACGCCAAGGGGAGCTTTGCTGAGCCCGCTGTCCTTCGAAGGTGATTGTGCATCTGGACGGGGAAAGAAATTTAGGTTGCCCCTTGGCTGCAATTATTTTTTCTGTCGTGTTTGCAAGATTTAGCAGCTGTTAGGAGCTCAAAATCCAGTTTGCACTTGAGCTGTTTCCTTTCGTTCTTTAACAGCACCCGTCTATCCTACCGAAAATAATTATGGGAGGCACTTTGAATGCAGGAGAAAGGCACGATATAAATGCACAGTATTGTTGTTATTGCGAATGTCGTCGTTTTTATTTCTTTTAAAAAAAAAAACGTTCAGGATAACTGCTTCAGGACATTTTGGGGGCTTTGTCCTCTACGAGACCTGGGCTAACTATGGCAGCAAGGGAAATACGAAGGACCAGCAAAAGCTTAGCAAAGCTTCAGACCGTTTTTGCCATCCTGGGCTGCAGAATTGTGTAAAAAAAAAATAATTCCCGTTTTCGGCTGAAAGGCCATCAGTTTGGGATGGCTACTGAAAGCGTAAAGCCGGAAGCAATTTTTTTAAAGATCTGACACCTTCGATAAATTTGAGAACACCAATCCCAGTCAGTATGAAAATCCAATTATTTTTTTCCTACGGTTACATTGTTGGTACTAATGAGCACTTCCCGTTTTGCCTAAAAAACAATTATTTGAAATGTGAGAAACCATCATATGAACTATATTTAAGTTTAAATTAAAGTTAAGGTATCATCCTTTGGTGTACGATTCCTAACAGGTTGGTTTCTTTGGGTCCACAGGAGCCTGACTAAGGTAGGATTGAATGGCTGGCTTTATGTGTTGTGCGACGTTTTGAGTTGCTTTAACGGTGATTTTTATAAGCAGAAAGACCTGAAGTCATACAACAACATACTGAAAAGACCAAAATAATTCAGTTAGGATTGTTATAAGTCTAGGACAGGCGTAGGCAACCTTGGCTCTTTTATGACTCGTGGACTTCAACTCCCAGAATTCCTGAGCCAGCCATGCTGAGGGGAAAGGGAGAGGTTTCCAAGCTGAGCCATGCTGGCTCAGGAATTCTGGGAGTTGAAGTCCACGAGTCATAAAAGAGCCAAGGTTGCTCACCCCTGGTCTAGGACTACCTGTACCGAAACTCATATCCTGTAATCTGGAGACCTGCAGTGTTATTGCAATGGTATCTTG